TCAGTAACAGTTGGATAATATTTATAATATGGCTATAAATAGCCCTTAATAGAACCCATAGTATAGACTGTTACTGGGTGGGGGCAGTACCCAACCTAAACCCTAAACCCTAAATAGGAGTTTCCATTTGCTTTCCCATTATCCCTATATTACCCCAATATACCCTGAACCCTATTATAGTAGATTCCATTTTCTTTTCCCTTATCCATATATAGCCCCTATGCATCATCAGCTCAGGAAATCCGCCTTGTCGGCCTCACACTCACACATGGTCCAGCCGGCAGGTGCAACCTCCCACGCGGTTTAGGGTTTAGGGTTTAGGGTTTAGGATTTAGGGTTTAGGATTTAGGGTTTAGGGTTTAAGGATTACGGTTTTGGGTTTCAGGGTTTAGGGCTTAGGGTTTAGGATCCGGTTTTCCTGGAAGCCTGGAGTTTCTGCAGCTTCAATCTCTAGACAAGAAAACCGTAATTCAGGGTTGAGGGTTTAGGGTCTTGAATCCTGGACCCTCACCTAGACCCTAAATACTAAAGCACCCTGGTAGCATTAGACTCTTAGACTCAAAGCCCCTCATGCCATCGGTACCCTTGAGCACCCCGAACCCGACCGGTGGCTATGTGGGGACTTCTCAAAACTGCGGTTTAGGATTTAGGGCTTCGGGGTGGCTTTAGACATTCCAAATGTATAGGGATTGCCTTCACCCTGCGTCCTTTGCCCTAGATCTTAAACCCCAAGCCCTGAACTCTGAACCCTTTAACGCCAACTCCCAAGCCCCAAACCCAAAATCCTAAATCCTGAACCCTAGACCCCTAAACCCTGAATCCTGAATCCTACACCCCAAAACCCTGAATCCTGGACCCTCAACCCTAAACCAAAAAGCCTAAATCCCTAAACCCGGAACCCTAAATCCATGTAAACAAGATGCAAATTTCCCCTTCCGGTCAGTCCCCGCACCTGTCGCGGCCTGCGCATTCGTGAATCCCGGCAGCTCGCAGCGCCTGAACTCTACGGGTTCGGGGTTTAGGGTTAAGGTGTTCAGGGATTTCTGGGTTTAGGGTGTAGGGTTTGGGAGTCGAGGGTTTAAGGTTTGGGGGTTTACGGGTTTAGGGTGTAAGGTTTAGGGGCTTAGGGTTTAGGGTGTAAGGTTTAGGGGGTTACGGGTGTAGGGTTTAGGGGTTTAGGGTGTAGAGTTAAAGATTTTCCAACAAATAGCATTGTAGAACAGGAGGAGGAGGATTCTTTGGCCGTCGCCGCAGCAAGAAGGGCAAAGGGCGGTCACGAGAATCGTCGTGATACTTGCTGACATGAAAATCACTACTAAACCAACAAATTCCCTCCAGGCGCCGCGCATGATTTCAGGCCAGACAAATGCCCCGCCTGCCAGGGCACGTGAGCATTGTGGGCAAGAGTAGGCAGTGAATATTGGAGGTATGACGATTGACAATGAGACTAACTCCTAAACCCCCAACTCTGAAACCCTAAGACCCTAAAACCCCAAAAACCCAAATCCTTGCGCCAAAGAGGAAGCAGAACCAGAGGAAGCACAGCTGCAGCAACGACATAAAAGGGTCCCGGGTTTAGGGGCCCCGATCATCATCGCATCATCAGAATAGCAATCACAGGAATGTTTTCAGACGCAGAGAATATACTGACATTGGCATTACAGGCGGCGGATAGCCAGCACAGAACTGGGTTGCTGTCCAGAAACTTAAGCAAAGTTACTATACTAAGAAAACCCCATGATGTGCTATATACCCATATTATGGTAACTTAAATCCACCAAACCCAAAAACCCTAAACCCTGTATGTATATTATATATCCCTATAAGCGTATTTTGGTAACTGTATTCAAGTTCCTTAACAGCAATCCACGGGAGGTACAGGCCTCGGAGAAGTCCTGCGGGCGTCGCACGGCAACGGTGGCCATTAGAAGGGCGCAGCTGCCTGCAGGGGAAAAATCAAAATGGGATACCCTTGGGCTCTATTGACCATGTTGGAAGTATATATATATATACACATACGTAAAAGGGGTCCCGCTTCATGAAAAGATAGATTTAGGGTCGATATAGCGTTTAGGGTTCCAGCTTTAGGGACGAATCTTGCGATTCTCGCTGCAATTTCGTTCGGTAGCAAGAATGTACAAGATACTGGGAATAGATTGGGGCCTTCAACTTGGAATCGCATCTAGTTTGAGAAGCTGTACCACAGGCAAGTTGACAGTGTTCACCGTCATACTTGCGCTGCCTATTGTGATCGCAATGTTTGTGAGTCTGCTCGCTCGCAAAGACTGTCGCTGCTACTGCTGTGCCTGCTGTTGCGCAAAAAATATATTTGCTCTTGTTGTGGCTGTTCTTACTTTTTGCTTCAAGCATTGGTACTGCTCCTGGGCTGCGCGTGTTGCAAAATAATCCCCCTCCCCCTTCTTATTAAATGCCGCAACCCCGTGTTCTCATTGTTGTAAACTTCAAGATGTAGGGAACACTTCCGAGTTTGGTGGGAAAACTGGATTGAATGTGAACAACAAGCCCTAGGCATTAAAGCCCTTGAAGAAGAAACCAAGCGCCCTAAACCCTAAACCCGAGGCCCTAAACCCGAAACCCTAAGCCCTAAATCCTAAACCCTTGAGTGCCTGGGCTGCTACGGTGGCTGGAGGGATCTTGCACCACTTAGAGTTTAGGGTTTGGGGTTCAGGGTTGAGGGCTTATGGGTTCAGAGTGTAGGGTTCAGGGCTGCTAAACAAAGTCACCCAAAAAATGCTAATTCCTGGGGTATCGGGTATGTAAGGTGGTACAAAGTTTCCTGTGCCCACAATAGTGCTTCTAGTCACTCTAAGAACTTCATCAATTAGGGACACTCCGCGTAAAATCCTGAACCGCAGACTCACCCAGGACTGAGTGAGTGGACTATACGGATTGTTGAATGCGTTGTACTGGGGACTCTGTAGGGACTAATACTGCTGATGAAGGAAAACTTGCACCGCCCGGAGCTGCTTCACTTCTGTAATTTCTGCGACTTAACGGAAGATGGTGCAAGAGGTCATCCATCAACGATATATGGCTCCATACCCCCCAGCTAAGCCATGACCCTAAACCCTCATCACGGCTTAGGGTTTAGTGGATGTGAGAAATTAGTTTCCATTGATTTTCATGCATTCACTCCACTAGGCCCAGTGCCAGGGCATAACGCTAAACAACATGTTTTTGGGTTAGGGTTTAGGGTTTTGCATTTTCTCGTCCAATCCCCCATTTGCAAGTAAGCATGACTAGCAAGTTGGACCTTAAGACCCTGAATACTAGACCCCAAACCCTCAACCCCGGCCCTACAGTAAAAACCCTATAACACCCTAAACCGTAAATAGTAGTTTCCATTTGCTTTTCCATTATCCCTATAAAACCCCAATATTACAACCCTACAGTTGGAATCTGCCCACCTCACTTCAGCTGGCAGAGAATCAGGAGGCTTGTCTTGTCAGCTGCGGAACACGGACAACGAGAGGGAGTTTCTCAACATGGACTTACCTTCAGGGACCTTAAGGATGTACGGGGATCTAAGAAGCCGTGCAGGAATTCAGGAGGATAACTTGAGAAACTCGCACATGGAACATCTGTGCTCTAGCAACCACCCTGTGTAGACATACGCCATGGTTTTCATTTATGGTCTCCCCAGTTGGACACCCACTTTATACATTCATCAACATTCTTCCGGAACCTTATGTACACTCCCCGAAATCCATCAATAAAGTCCTACTTGACATGCTTCTCATGCAAATTCAACATATCTGCTGACATCGGCTAATCAATCACCTTAGCCCTGAGCCCCCTAAGGAGGAGTCTCACTAGTGCTTCAGGCAAGGTGGGGACAAGTGGATCCATATGTCCCTGCAGTACTACGTACATTCACCCCCCACTCCCCCTCAACCACCAGTAAGAAGAGCCGCCGTCTTTGTTTCCATGCCATGCAAGCGATTTGAACGGGTTAGAAAAGGAATTTGGGGTCTTAGACAATTGTTTGTGCTGTGGTCTTCCACTCGCTAAGCTTCGGCACAGCATATGTCATCATTACATTACCAAGAATACACCTCGCCATCTTACCGCTCTTTGGAAGACACTATACTCGCAGTCATAGCTAGTCCTCTCGGTCGATGAGAATTTCAGGTCCCTGAACAGTCAAATCTAGCTCTTGAACTGAGAAAGATGTGCAGATGACCACAGTCGCTTTAGATGCACGGGTTTTGAGGCTTGGAAATGTCCTGCATCCACTTCTGGTTTCGAGGACTTGTGCGGGGATTAGATACCGAGATCATGCACTTCAGTGCTTCTATAGAAAACAGATTATCGCGAGATTGCAAAGCTTGTATATAAATTACTCCATGGTGATCCCTTCATGTCGGTCGGCCCTGCTATACCCTGAACCCTGAAGCATGCAGCTTGGAAATAAAGGGTTGGAGTTCTAGGCATATTTCGAAATACTAGTTGTTAGTAGGGAATATAATCCCTACATAATCCCTATATCGTATGTTCCCATATTCCCTGCTAACCACCAGTAAGTCGAATACTCTAAAGGTCTGGGCTTTGCACTGATAAGGCCTCGTCACCAGTCTGCTGTAGCATTCCAAGCCTCGATTCGAATTCATGGCTCAGCGTAGCATCCCAGAACCCCCAAAAGGATCTAGGGTTTAGGCCCCACAAGGGAAATTATATACAGGGGATATAAATCGGTCTATATAGGGGATCTAATTTTTGGATCCTCCCAGGGGTCTGAGATCTCTGTACAGCCTTGACGTGCGCATTACCACACGAAGACACGGAAAATCAAGATCTCTGCACAAGCAGGAGCTCGCGGGAACGTCTTTAATTGTCAACTTGGAGATTTCTCAAAATTCGGGTCCGCGTCGATACCACCAAAACGGCGTCGTGCTTATCAAGATGGACCTCCAATAAAGACCCATGATTTTGAGGAACCCCAACTTTGTACAAACCCGGCGACACCAGTCGCCAGGTCACATTTGTGGGTGCAAGCTGCTGGTGGCAAACCAGCAGCTCTAGCCACAAAGTCTGCACCTCCTCGGGTAGGAAGCTGCTTCAGATGCTGAGATGCTCAGGAGCTACCTGCCGAGTACAGTCTAGGTTTAGGGTTTAGGCTTAGGGTTTACGGATCCCCCAAGCTAACCTGACGTCCCGTTTACCTCGAAATACCCCCCACAAATTGGACGCACCCTGAAGAGGCTAGCTACCACCCCCGAACTAAACTATTTTTGCTATTTCGTACAATCCCAAACCGCTTTACCCTGAACCCTAGGCATGTTGATCCTGAGCCCTAACCCTAACCTCATCCATACCCCTGATCCCTAAACTCTGAGCCCTTATCCCTACAGGAGGTGTCGCGCTGGGGCCTGGGTTTCTGAATATAGAGAAAATAGACATTATATTACAGCTTCTTATAAATACCATTATACAGTTATCTGATAGATATATTGAAGCAGCTTCGTACAATTCAGGTCCGCGGCGACACCTTAAACGCTGCTATGC